AAAAAAACTTGCTTTGATACTAAGAAGAAGTTTCTAATATAATGATGAAGAAATTTCTAATGGTAAAAATTTCATGATAAAATAGCAAAAGATGAGAGAAAAGAAGACATGATATTATATGGTTTAGGATAGTGTCAAAACATCATGATATATTTCAGGATAGTGTGCAAAAGCCTTTATAGCCTTTGCACATTTATTTTTCTTCGTTCTTTTTTGATGTATGAGTAATCCTATTTTTAGGGTAAGAAGATACATAATATAACGAAATAACAATTAATTAAAAATTTTCTATTAATTAGATTATAATCAATATCAAATTCTTAAAATCAATTAATTTGTAAATTAATTTCTCTTTTGATTGATCAATTTTCATAATGATTTAATATTCCTTCCTCACTAAGCAGTGATACAACACTCATTATTTCCTAGCGCTTTCTGCAATATTGCATGGTGCTAGAACCTCCTCAGAAAATTTCAATTAGGAAAATAGACTGATTAGATATTTTTCGAGTTTTGAATAAATTGGGAAAAAATAAAAGAATTTTTTAATCTATATTCTCAAAATTAAAAATATAATAAATATATTTTTTATTATAAATTTATATTAAAAATAAAAATTAACTTTTAATTTATTATTATCTAATAAAATTTATCTATTTAATATTAATACTAAAATTATAATGAATGTGAATTTTTATTTTTTTTAATATATTTATAATAAAAGAGTACCTTAGTTTATATTTCTAGAAAAACCTAAAAATTAAAAAGCAATAATGACCCAAAAAACACTAAATTCCATGAAACAATGCAAATTTCAACAAAGCAGCAAATGAGTCAAAATCCATCGATTGATTACCCAATTTCAACACCTCAAAGAATAGATTGGAATCTTGGATGACAGAAAATGCACATCTAGAAATTAGCTCTTGCAATTCTATATATAAGATCATTATTCCAAATGATAGGTCATAAATAAATTGTTGACTTATCAGCAAACGGCTGCAGAATGGAAGACCATCAGTAGCAGTCACACATCAAGTGGAATCCCACGCTAGTATGGAACCCTTTCCAATTAACTTCCACACCCCATTACTACCAAAAAAAAAAAAACCTTCCACACCCCACAGAGAAGAAGAGGACATATGTTTCTGTGTATTGATAGAGATAGATAGATAGATACAGAGATATATTAATTCATTAGTTGCATAATAGTTAATGTGATCTAGGTACTGACCAGCAGTTGACATCTGCGATTAAACCAAAAATCACAAGGCAAGCTAAATAAGTTTACACAAAAAGGCATTTAGCGAAGTATGGTATTTTTTAACCTTCAACTGTTACTAACTATACTTAAAATGACGAGATAAGTACTACTAACTATACCTTTTTTTTTTTTTTACAGTAAAAATTGATTAGAGATAGTGTTAGTATTTGTTAGTAAAAAAGTTTGAACAGTTAAAAGAATACAGGCCAACTACTACCAAGGGCAATGTGACCACTTGAGCCACATGGGGTCTTTAGTATTATCGATACTTTAAATGACAAGTTAAGTAGCTTTTTTCCTCTTCTGTATACCTAACTTCTTGAGTAACCATTACTTTAACCAAACTAACCTTAGTTGGCGCACCACCTCCATTTATTAGGAAAAATAAAATCAACTGTTTCAAAAAAAAAAAAAAAACAGGAATAGTGAGTTTTTGGTTCATTTTCTGTTGTGATTTGAAGTCAGTATTTGAATTTCGATGTTATTCTTGAGACTTTCGTTAGAGTAACAGTATTTTTTGTATTTTATATTAATAAAATATATCACGTTGAGCTAATTAAAGAAAAACTGTTTCAAAAATGATTATGATTCGATTACTATTTGCAGAAAATATTTTATTTTGAAAGCAAGATATATATTTCTTGCGGACCACACAGTACACTACAAAATTATGTTTGGTGAGCGTTCAACGTTTTCTCAAGCTACAAAGGGACGAGTGTTTCTTACCCTACCATCTCGCCAATTTAAAGTTATAGTTTCTTACACCTACCATCACAGATCACTTGGTAAAAGGTGATTCTCCCTTTCAAACATTTGTTCTTTAAATATATATATATATATATATATAAAACTCTTGAATTTGTTAACTTCATGTATATGCTTTGTATTTGATAAGATTAGAAAGTTAAACTTAATTTAGTGCATGTAAACTGATTAGAATTCTATTAAGGTGCGAATGAATACTGCCTAATTGCTATATATATGACATAGCTATAGTGTTTCGTAAAAATAAAAATGTAGAGTATTTCTGGTAAAAAGACTAAGGAGAAGAAACCAATTTTTGATGCAAAATGAGCCTATGTGAGATTCGTGTTTTAGGATTCCATTGCTATCTTCATCATCAAGATAATGTGTGCAAATGGCTTCACTGCAAGAGCTACCTACCACTTACATTAATCCCTTGATTTTTTCTTTCTTTCTTCGTCTCTCCCTCCCTACTCCTTTTTTTCTATAATCATTGACAAGCGGAAGCAAGCTCAATTTACCCCATTCCCCACCAAAGTTACCTCTCTCATTCTTAACCTACTCCAGTTTAGAAACCTTTGTCCCAACTCTTTCCAAGTCCTCTCCAAGCAATATGGGCGTCTCTTCCTTTTACAATTGGGAAAGTACCCAACCAGCCCTTCTTGTCATTTTGACTGATATGGCCAGAGAAATCAAGAGGAATCATGACACGGTTTTCTCAAACAAACCTAGGACAACTGCTATAGAGATCCAGCTTTAGGGATGCATTTTTTATATATTTGATTATAAGTAATATAAAAAGAGATAATACTATAAAAATAAGACAACTACTATGGAGATTTAACTTTAAAGATATATTTTTGATATATTTGATGATAAACAATATAAAAAAAAATGATCCTATAAAGATCTTTTAATTTTGTAGTACGAATTAAATATGATTTCATTTTGGGAAGAATTATATATCCTCCTTTTATCAATCAAGGAGTTGTTTTTTTTCTTGGTCACTTGATATTTTGATAATGATGGATACTCATTCACCCATTTCAGATTGTTGATCCGACACCTCCTAGTAATTCCAGGCCCAGAAACACAAGCATTCTACATTGATTCATCGAGCCATTTAATGCCCGAGAAAAAGACATGTATGACCCGGGCCAGATAGGAATTGCTCACCTTCCCATTAAAAAAACAAAGGGATGGAGAAAGTAATTTCACACAGGTCTTCTAGGTCCCATCCTGATCCCTTATGGCCACCGGGATTAAACTCGATAAACCTAGAGGATTCCAAAAAAACAATCATCAAAATTTGGACCCACCAAAGATAAAAGTAATCAATTTGGTAGCTGTTCAAGGACACAAAAGATATACTGAATCTTGCTTCAATCAAACAATCACCAAATTCATGGCCTACAAACGGATATACCGAGAGATTCACCGCATGAATTGCGCCCCACCAACTTACATTTTACATCCATCCACCTACCAACTTACATTTCTGCTCTACCTTTAACAAACAATACCACACTGATCAAATCTATCACAATTCTATGTTCGACGAAAACAAAACGTGGGGAGAAAGAAGAGAAAGAACCGATGGACAAATCTTTATTACAGCAACATTACAACTTCTATGTACAGAGCAGAGAGCAAACTACATTACCAACTCTACATATTTTACAGCTTACGCCCCCTCTTAGATACCATGACAAGGTTTAACATCCACACAACTAGACATATATAAGCAACCACACACACGCAACACACACAGTGGAATACAGGGCTTATAAGCTAAAATACACGGAGAAAATTCAACAGGGTAACATTTTTCATCAGCCGATAGCAAGAAAGAAACAAACTTGCTCATATCTCACACGTCGTAAGGAGAAGTAGGTTTTTTTGGTCCAGCCTCGCTTCCCTTCTCAAACGCATCTGATGTCGATCTTCTTCGAAACCGATAGGACTCTTTAGCTCCTGAACACCAGCCATTTTTTTTAAGATGCATCAGTATGTAATGTAACTACTTTCAGTATTTCACATACATACAAGCTAATTTCCCAAGAAATAACAAACAAGCGCCAAATAAGTGCATCCTATAATGACATTATATATTCTTCTTCAAATAATGCATAAACATAAAATTTTCATGTCAGAATTCTTTGTTAATCAAATAAGAATCAAAAGATCTTTTTTTTTTTTTTGGCCAAATCCAAATGATCTAATACTTTTCCTTTTGATGAATGGATCTAATACATCTTATTTGTCACAACAAAATTAATCTATATTACAATCTCCACTCACAACCACTAGTTTCTTTGACTAAATGTTCTCTAAGTACAAGAAAGAGTATGTTGTTTTACAATTTAAACTATAAAATAATTTTCATACAAGAAATATGAAACTGGGATGACGATAAAATAACTAAATCCCATTGTGAATAATTCAACGGTATCATTCACTATTTTTTTTTTTCTTGCCATCAACGGAATCATAATTAATTTGTACCATAAAAATGGGGTTTACTTGTCCTTTTCCTATATTTTTCTTCCACCATATACCTTGCTTTTCAAGGATAATCTCTTTAAAAAAAAGAGAGAGAATTATAGAAATAGCCAAAGGGTCCAATGGATTAAATGCCCCACCTAGCAAGGTAACATGATGATCTAAAAATGAAAATGACAATCTAAATGGACCAAACAATTAAATTCCTTGGCCCATGCATAATTGCACGTCGATGGGGACATAAATGTCATTTTCTATATTGAAGACAAAAAACACGACAGCACCCACCTAATATTGCAAACAATTATCCACTGACGAGGCACAAAAATGCCACGAAATGACATAATTACCCTCATAAAGTCTACTTATCAAAAGATGCTTCAAGCGGTCGAAATTACCCCTCACAGTTCCAGTCACAGAATCTTCTAGAACCAAAAACTCCACCTTTCTTGGAGTGGGCATTTTGGGTATTCGACAGAAATATCAGGGATAGATCTGGCATTTCGAGCACAAAAGGTGAAAGGAAAACAGAGCATTACCGGAAAAGGGAGATACCGGAGGAGTAGTCGAGCCGGCAGGCGAAACCGGTGGCGAAGCGTTCTGGTACCCCGGCGGCCTCACTATCATGATACTCCGCGTCACTCTCGTCGTCTCCACCGACGATTCATCGGCGATAGATCTCACACTGCCACTGTCAGATTCTGATCATCACAATTCACAACCAAAATCAATTTATATGTAAGAAAGAAAAAAAAAATTGTTTAAGATAAAAGACTTTGAATCTCGAAGATTCGATTAGACTAAATCATTTCGAAACATTTTGTAAAATGTAGGATCAGTTTAAGATCTCAAATCGACGAAAATCAATAGGAGAAGCTATTTGACCAGTCGATCTGATCAACGACGGCGATCTTTCTATTTCTCTAATAATTTCTTTGGGGAATAATTCTGATTTTAGAGCGATCGGTTCGCGAATTCACGTGACGTGAGGTTCTATTATTAGCGAGAAATGAGCTACCGGCGTGAGAGAGCGAGCGGCAGTCGCATACCCTTGCCGGAGCTTGATCGGAAACTGAAAGTGGAGTGCTTTCGCAGCTTGCCAAGGCCGCTGTCGGGTGGTGGCCCGGCAACGGTGTCATCCCACAAGTGGTCAAGCAGCCCCATGGCGGAATTTGAGCAGAAACACGGCACGTAATTTAACGGAATCCGGCGTACGTCGGAACCAAGCTCAGTAGCGAGGATAGAGGAGTGAGAGGTGCAATGAGTAAGATATTTAAGGACAAAGAGAAGGGTTCAAAGAAATCTGGACCGTCGATCCCGATCTGGGGGGGATGACATGGCAAGCTGATCGACTAGCACGTAGTTTGAGGATAAGATCAGATGCTAAAAGGTGGGCCCAAGGGCGTGTCACGTGACCAGTCATCTTATTAGCGTCTGAAGTACGTAATTATCCCTAAATTTTGGCCTTATCCCAAATGGTTAATCTCGTTACACAAATTTTAAAGAATGTTTGGTTTGAGTGAATCCACTATAAGCGTGAGTAAATTTTTACTGTGGATTATATAATAAAAAGTAGTAATTGGAGGAATAATTATTTTATATAATTTTTATAGATTATTAAAA